GATCCCCTCCACTCTGCACCCCTCTCCCCAGGCCTTTACCACACTATTGTCTGTGTCCATGGGTTATGCATATATGCACATAAATTCTTAGGTTAATCCTCCCCACCCGCCCCTGCCTTCCCTCTGAGATTCGTCAGTCTGTTTGATGCTTCAATTGATCTTTGACAAAGGAGCAAAGGCAATTCAATGGCAAATGACCATCTTTTCAACAAATGATACTGACACAACTAAACACCACATGCACATGGAGTTGCAAGGGCCAATGAACATCCAAAACAATCTCAAAAAAGAACAAATTAGGAAGACTCACATTTACAGATATCAAAACTTACTATGAAGCAAGGTAGTGAAGACAGTTTGGTATTAGTGTAACAGTACACGTGAAGATCAATGGAATGTAATTGAGTGCCCCCAGATAAATTCATGTGTCTATGGTCAACTGATTTTCATCAAGGGTGCCAAACCATTAAATGGGGGGAAAGTAGTCTTTTTAACAAATGATGCAATTAGGACATGAATACTGTGTGTTGCTCTATTAATATTGCAGTATCTTTACAAAGTTTATGGCTCCACCATCCACGTAAACTGAATTTCAACAACCTTTTGTCAACCTCTATTATAGAAACTAGCTAGTCACTGAGAATTTTTCAGAGCATGTATCTCTCCTCCAAAAGCTCATTGTCCAGGAGAGATAGATACATCAATGAATAATTATATTAACCTGGCCGGGCGTGGCTCAGTGGTTGAGCGCCAACCTAGGTCCAGGAGATCGGGGTTCAATTCCTGGTCAGGGCACATGCCCAGGTTGTGGGCTTGATCCCCAGTCAGGGCGTGCAGGAGGCAGCCGATCAATGACTCTCTCATCATTGATGTTTCTATCTCTCTCTCTCTTTCCCTCTCCTTTCCTCTCTCTGAAATCAATAAAGATATTTAAAAAAATGAATAATTATATTATAATGGGTCATATGTAATAATGCATTTTCTTCCCTATAATATTGCAATATTGAGCAGATTTCATGGGAAGAGCCCTCAAAAATACGCTGATTCACCTTGGCCCCAGAATTCTGGGGTTGGTTCAGATTCATCCCAGATCAATGTCATGTTTACTTGATAAACATAATATAAAGCCAAAACAAGCATAAACACCCAACCCAACCTTTCACTTGGCTGGGCACAGAGGTCAGCAACCACTGGAAGGAGAAATAAATAAACTGAAATAACTCAATCACTGCTAGTGAAGCCAGGAAAGGGAAAGAAGAGTGGGAAGACAGAAGAGAGGGAAGGAGGGAGGGAGGAAAGGGCGTGGGAGAAAGGGAGGGAGGGCAGAAATGATTCCCCAAACCAACCATTTGGGTAAATCTAAATAATTATTGACTGAAAATAAAACAACTATATAATGTGGGGGCTATTAAAATACGTATAAAATGCATGATAACAATGATATAGAATTCAGGAGAGTGGTAAACTGAGTTAAAGTTAAACCCCCGAGAAGGGGTTAAAAGTACAACTAATACATTTTAAATCAACTGTATAGGGGTATAATTTACATACAATAAAATGCACCCCTTTTAAGAGTGTGATTATGTGTCTTGATTATGTGGCCTAAGAGTCATTAAAATCTTTGCTGGGAACTTCAGGTTTGTGTTCTTGCCTGAGCTAAGATACCGCACACTGATCTTGGTGGTTCAACCAGGAGACATGGCATGTTTTGTGTGTGAATATGGGCCCTGAGGAGCTTGAGCCTGGGAGGCCATCTCTCCAACCCATAATGCTTGCCTGCACTGCCTCGCTGCACTCTACCCTCACCTCTAAATCAAAGCATTACCTCACTATAGTCTCATGAGTCCTTTCAAATGTCCCAGTTTCCGAAATCTTTTCATTTAAGATGTCTTTTGCCCTGGCTGGAGTGGCTCAGTGGTTAGAACATCGGCCCATTACAGAAGGGTCTTGGGTTCGATTCCCGGTCAAGGGCTCATACCTGGGTTGTGAGTTTGCTCCTTGCTCCTGGTCAGAGCAAGTTTGGGAGGCAACCAGTCCATGTATCTCTCTCACATCGATGTTTCTCTCTCTCTGTCTCTCCCTCCCTCCCTCCCTTCTACTCTCTCTGAAAAGCAATAGAAAAAAATATCCCCATGTGAGGATTAACAACAACAAAAAGGTGTCTTCTGATGGCTCAACTATCACTGAATTACTAGAAAGACCACTAGGTAGCACTAGGATTTGTTTTTAAAATAAGTAAAAATAATCAGGTTTGCTTGGCATTCTCCAAATTTGCATTCATTTGGAATGATTGTGCAAACTCTTTTGTTCACCAAACTTAGGAGGGAAGGGGTGGGGGAAGCCTGATAAATGAAAATAAAAGTTTATCTTCCTGGGTAAAAAATATTAATATAAATACATATCAATAGTGGTATGCTTTTCAAGTTAAAAGAAACATGGCTATGTTTAAATAAAGGACTGGTGAAATAACTGTGCATTAAAAGATTTTTTTCTCCCAACAACTCTCCTTCCCTCCCTTGATTATTTAACCTGGGCGAGGAAATTGTGTCTTGTCCACGCCTTTGGATATCCCTTTTGCATAGCATGGGTTAATCTCAGCTGGTTTGAATTGGCCAAATGCTGCGTGAAGCCTAATTGAACTTTGACATCACTATTGATCTATTAAGTTCTATAACCATGGGCCAGTGAGTTGTTTGGAGGCAGATATACCAGCAATGTGTAATATTAGTTATTGGATTTATAGCTTGCTCCTAGTTTGGGGAGGGTTGAGAGTTTAGGTTGGTCACATAACTGGAATATGCTTGGGTGACCAGCTCACCTTAACAGGTTTAGGCTTCCTGGTACCAATGTGCTTCATACACACGGCAGTGGTGGTTAAAAAAATGAAGACAAAGTATATCCTAAGCAACCCAGTGATGGGAGGGTAAGAGCTTACATCTGAGATCTCCAGGCCTCTCCCATTACATTCCCCTCTCCTGCCATTGGTGTCTCATACTTGTTGCCTGTAACATGTAAATTGAGCTCTGTGAATACTTTCAGTAATCAAACACTGAATGGAACATAGTAATGCACTTTTTGATAACCTTAATTTAATTTTGTTCGTTGCAAGTTCAAGTTATGTTACCACACATTAAAATTCACTCTTGGCATATGAGTCTTTTCCAAGAGTAAATTCACTTCACGCAATAGTTACCTGGACTAGCCTGCCATTAGCATGAAATTAAAGAGCAAATGTTGGTTCAATCAGTATTTTCTACTAAACTTTGAACATTCTTTGCTTATTTTTAAGGTAGGTAATACTTTTTCTTACCAACTATCTTATAAAAACTTCGAAAAATTTTGCCTTTTACCCCAAAAACTGTTATTGTCCTTATCATTCATCTTCAGAAAAATATAGAGAAACAAATTCTAAAACCAAAAATTATCAAAGTTCTCAGGGACTTGAATTTCCACGTCCCAAGTTACTTCCATTAGCTTTAATGACATCAGCACTCCCTTTATGAGTCCATCTTAGACTACCCTGTGCATTTAGGAGGAACATCCCCTCTAGTCCCAGTCTGCTGAACTGCATGTTGATGTGACTAAATGCTAGTAATCTTACCAATGTATAGGTAAGGTATAAGTGTGCTTTCCGATCTAACCACGCATGCAGTCTCTGAACGACCTGAAATCCAAAGGTCAGATTCAAAACACAATACAAAAAAAGTGAATGTTATCAAAATTAAAATTTTTTTTTGCTCCATAAAAAAACACTATTAAGAAAGTGGAAAGGCAAGCTACAGGATGAGAAGAAATATTGCAAACCATATATCCAGTAAAGAACATGTGTCAAAAATTTACCAAGAAATCTCAGCACTCAGCACTAAGACAAACAACCCAATTAAAAAATAGGCAAAAGGCTAGAATAGGCTCTTCACCAAGAAGAGATATAGATGTCAAATAAGGACATGATAAATGTTCAACCTCATTATCCACATGAGAAATGCAAATTAAAATAACCATGGGATACCATGACAAATCTACCAGAATGACTAGAGTAAAAGAAAATACAAACAACCGCAAGGTTTTTTGTTTAATTTTTGTTGTTGTTGTTAATCTCACCCAAGGATGGAGGAGGGTGTGTGGGTGGAGGGGGAGAGAGTAAGCAAAGAATTTCTATGCATATATGCACAACCCAAGGACACGGACAATGGTGGGGAGAGGGACTGGGGAGGGGGAAGGAACGGGGTGGAACGGGTCATTGGGGAGAAAAAGGGACATCTGTAATATTTTAAACAAAAATAAAATTTAAAAAAAAAAAGATTCCATTCCTGTATTACTGTGGAGCTATGGAGGAAGTTGGCGCTCTCTTTGTTGGTATTGAAGCTGGAACTGAGCCACCTCAAGCACTGATTGCTATCTTCCCATGAGTCAGCTGAGAGAGCCTCGAGGCAGAGGCTGTGAAACTGTTGCCTGGCCTATCATTTCTTCCTCTAGTCCAGCATTCCCCAAATTTAAGTGATAATAATCCCAGACCCCTTTCCAAGTCCTTCTGCAGCAGAATCTCCAGGGAAGTCCTGGGAAACTAACTACTCTAGTCTCACCTTAAGCTAGCCCTAATGTTGAGGTTTTCATGAACATGAATCAATAAATTTCGTTTATAGTCTAAGAGAATTTGAGAGAGACCTATGTTACTTGGCAACAAAAGCATCCTAACTGATAAACCCCAGCTAGATTTCTTTCCTTTTGTAGTTTTTGCCCCCAATCTTCTCTTTGCAGAGGAGTAAGCATAAACGCTCAATGAGTTATTCCTATGTCTCATAAAGTTCAAAGGGCAATCTCAGTTAGGATTCAGAACAAGCTGGAAGAAAACAGGTTGAGAAATAGATCGGTTAATCTCTCTTCCCTCCCACTGCTCCTCCCCCTGCCCTCCTTTCTTTGATTAAAAAGGCCCTAGGACACCTGTTCAAAAAGTGTTTCGAATCACTCCTAGAAATTTGAAGTCCTAGGCTCTCCCGAAGATGAACCTCACTGCAGCAAATCACCGCATACCTCTAAGTGATGGGAACAGCATTCCTATCATTGGGCTTGGTACCTACTCAGAACCTAAGTTGGTAAGTTTACCTCTCTTTGCTTTTTTCTTAATAAGAAACTTTTCTAAAGTATAATCTGTAATTCATTTTGAATGGATCTCAGTGATTCATTTTTTTGTAAATCCAAAAGCAACCTCCAAGGACTACTGTTTGGCTAAATGAGTATTGAGCCAAACATTTCTGCTTTCTTTACTAAAACTCAGCTGGATGCTTATTCTTTGATTGATCTCAGGCACATTACATTACTGAGTTTATGGCCTGTGATTTTTTTTAAGTTCATATTTGAGCTTTTTTTTTTTAATATATCTTTATTGATTTCAGAGAAAGGAAGGGAGAGGGAGAGAGAGAGATAGAAACATCAGGGAGAGAGTCCCCTCCTGGGGATCAAGCCCGAAACCTGGGTACATGCCCTGACTGGGAATCGAACCCCAATCCCCTGGATCCTAGGTCGATGCTCAACCTCTGAGCCACATCCGGCTGGGCTGAGCATTTTTTAGTTCATTCTAACAAACATATAGTGAAAACCTACCATGTATGAAGCACTAAGCTCCAGAAGCTTCAGCTACGAAGAGAATAATCTCTGCTGCTTATGGTATAAAAATCTAATAGGAGAGGCTCCCTTTTTATTTTTATTTATTTATTTTTCATTTTTAAATGTTTTTATTGATTTTGGAGACAGAGAAAGGGAGGGGGAAGAGAAATATTGATGAGAGAGAGGAACATCAATCCGCTGCCTCCTGCATGGCCCCTACTGGGAATCAAGCCTGGAAGCCAGGCATGTGCCCTGAACGGGAATTGAGCCAGCGACCTCTGGTGCATGGGGCGATGCTCAACCAACTGAGTCACACCAGCCAGGGCAAGAGGCACACTTTTTGATAACTAACTATTGACCAATGAAGATGAGAGTAAATGCGTCCTAAAAATACAAACAGCATCTCTCTGAAAACACAAGAAAGGGAATTGTTAAAATTTTTCTTTTTTGTTTTAATTTTATTTTTCAGTTACATTCAAGATTATTTTGTATGAGTTTCAGGTGTACAACAGAGTGGTTAGACAATCATATACTTTACAAAGCGGTCCCCCAATATTTCAAGTACCCGTCTGGCACCATACGTAACTATTAAAATATTATTGATGATATTCCCTATGCTGTACTCTACATCCCTGTGATTATTTTGTAAGTACCGATTAATACTTCTTAATCCCTTCACGTTTCTCACCTGGCAGGCCCAACCCCCTCTCAACTGGCAACCCTCAGTTTGTTCTCTGTGTCTATGAGTCTGTTTCTGTTTTGTTTATTTCATTCTTTAGATTCCATAGATAGGTGAAATCACATGGTATTTGTCTTTCTCTGCTGACTTATTTCACTTAGCATTATACCTTCTAGATCCATCCATGATTTCATTCTTTCTTATGGCTGAGTAATTTTCCATTGTCTAAATGTACCACACTTTTTATCCACTCATCTATCGATGAGCACTTGGGTTGCTTCCATATCTTGGCTGTTGTAAATAATGCTACAATGAACACAGGGGTGCATATATTCTTTCGAATTCATGTTTCGGGTTTCTTCGGATATACACCCAGAAGTGAAATCATTGGGTCAGGGAATAGTTAAATTTGACCACGGAGAGTGAAGCAGGTTTCCATTAAAACACAATAAAGTTTCTACTTAAATTTTTCTGGCCTCCTCATTGCAATACCACATTTTGTGCTGATTACCAAAATAAACAGCAGTATGTGTAGAAATGTTACTGAAAGTTGAGTGATCGTGAATGAATTAACGCTGTAAAGCTAAAACTGAATTTGTCAGGCAGAGAAGCAGAGCTGAGGCAGGACATTTTAGGCAGAAGGGGAAGTGTAAAAGCACAAGATACATGATAGATATGTCCAGGAAAGGCCATGTGGACAGTGGCTGACACATGGAATTAGTGGTGGAAGTAATGGCAACTGGATCTGGAAATGCATTGATTTGTGGTTCCACTTATTTATGCATTCATTGGTTGCTTTTTGTATGTGCCCTGACCGGGGATTGAACCCAAAACCTTTGTGTATAGGGGTGACGCTCTAACCAACTGAGCTACCCGGACAGGGCCCACCTGGGACATTTTTTATTTTCTTTTATTTTTTATATATCTTTATTGATTTCAGAGAGAGGAAGGGAGAGGGGGAGAGAGACAGAAACATCAATGATGAGAGAGAGTCATTGATCGGCTGCCTCCTGCACTCCCCCTACTGGGGATCAAGCTCACAACCCGGGTATGTGGCCTGACTACGAATTGAACTGCAATCTCCTGGATCATAGGTCGATGCTCAACCTCCGAGCCACCCCTGGCAGGGCTGGAACATTTTGTAAAAATACAGAGCTTTAGCCCTGGCTGGTGTGGCTCAGTTGGTTGAAGTGTTTCCCCATACACTGGAAGATCATGGGTTCAATTCCCAGTTAGGGCACATACCTAGGTTGCGGGTTCAACCCCTGTCAGGGCGCATACAGGAGGCAACGGATCAATGTTTCTCTCTCAGATTAATGTTTCTCTCTTTCTGTCTCTATCTGAAAATCAGTGAACATGTCCTCAGGTGAGGGTTTAAAAAAACAAACAGATCCCTAGGCTTCACCTCAGGGCTACTGAATCTGGGTCTCTAGGGGAAGAGCCTAAGACTCTGCGTTTGTCATGCTCCTGGGATAATTCTGTTGTACAATCAAGTAGGTGCTCATCTTCCACAGGCAGCTCGAACTCAACATGACAAATCACACGCATCACCTTCCCCTCCCTTCAAAATACTCCTCCTAGCAGTTAGCAACCCCTAGCCACCCATACTAGAAATCTGAGTATATTTCTTCTTTCTGCTCTCCCTCACTGCTCCCCTCCTCCACATTACACCCTAATGATTGCTAAATCACTGTGGAATTTGTCTCAGAAACATTTCCCCAATTCACACCCTGCTCTTTATTCTTTGTCACCGCCTTAGTTTAGGCTCTTAATTTATCTTTGGCCTATCCTTCCAATAAATTAGCCAAAGTGGGGTGATCAGGAGCCTCCTCAGACCTAAATCTGATCATGTCACTCTTCTTTTTAATCATTTCAATGGCTCCTTATGAGTTATAGGGTAGAGTCCACACTCCTTACCTTGCACACTGGGCCTTTATGGTTCAGTCAAGACCTGTCTGTTCCGCAGCACCTACCACCTCTCCCTGTGTGTAAAACATAACAACCTAAGTTTCTCGAACATCACTCCCACCTCTATGCCTTTGAACATGCTGCCTTCTACCTGGAACCCCCTTTCTCCTGTTTTGTTCACTTGGCTTACTTCTATTACACCTTCAAGGCTCAGCTCAAGGGTATCTCTCCTTGGAATCCCATGTCCCAGCCACCACAACTTGCCCCTCCTGCATGTTCACATAGCCAGCCCGTTATACTCGACTCTATGGTAGCACCTATCATACTATATTGTAACCACTGTTTCTCCGCAACCTTCCCCGCAAGACTGAAATCCATTAGGAAAAAGACTATGTCTCCTTTAGTTCTGTATTCCCGGTAGAGTGTCTAGTAGGTAATGGGTGTTCAGCTAGTGCTTGTCGACTTAGGGACTGAGTTTGTGAAATGGGACATATATGTATGTGAGCATCAGAGGGCATGGAGGTGCAAATGGATGCAATGGTAATAGCTAAAACTTTTTGAACACTTAGCCATGGGCCAGGAAAGCGCTTCACATTACATGCATTTTTTAATTTAATTCTCACATTATGAATGAGATACCAGTTGACAAAATTTTGTAAAGGAGAAAACTGAGATTAAATAAATTGCCACAAGCTTCTAATACTAAGGAACAGAGCAGGGATTTGAACGAATGTAGTTCAGGTTCAGATCCTATGCTCTAATTCCTACACAATATTGCCTGTTATGAATATATCTTATATCAATGAAGCTGCATATTTCTAACTCTGACTTTCTGTGTGTATTTCTGTATATGAAAGTATCTAGGGATATATGCCCTGAAATATATATCTAGGATATATAAATGCTACGGGGTTAGAGACATTCAAAAGCAGTTATGTGCCATTTCCCAAAAAGAGCTGTAACTTACTTCACAAGATATGACATACATCAATTAAAGAATATGGCATAAGAGGAATACCACTGGAAATGAAGATCATGTGTGCACAAACCACACTTGTGATCAGAAGTATTATCAGTTGTAAAACAATATATGAAGTTAATGGTATGTCTCGCAAAATCAGAAAAGCTAATGTGAAGAAAAACATACAAAGTGTATCTGAAAGATTTGGGGAAGCGGGAGGGGTGGAGCTGGGATTGATGGGGGAGATGAGAGTGGGCAGAATGGAGTATCTTGGATAGAGCAGGCTCATGGCTTTCTGTTCCAAGCCAAACAATGGAAAACTCCTTTGTCATCTACCCAGGACTTATGAGGCTTAGAACCACCTGTCCCCACGTCAGTCACCCTGACATAAAAGTGCTGCATGAGATTTAACTTCAGGATCAGTCTTACTCCTAGAGGTGGGGTCTGATGCCAGAATTTAGTCTTCTCCGTAAAACATGCCTGAGAGCCTTTTCAGAGCCTTTCATTCCATAAGAGATACAAGGTGAACTCCTGGTTGGGGTAACTCTTTAACTGGAGCTCGTTCATGTTTTGTGTACAAAGTCAAGTCAGTCAATATTGGTCCTGGGATCCTGCTCAGCTGTGATACAGCAGTTAGAGGGCTTGCAGGGCACCAGGCAAAGATCTGGGCCTGTCTTCAGGGAGAGAAGGAGTCGGAGCAGAGGTGAGAGAGGAAAATAAGGAGTCCATCTCCTCCTACTTCTTCCTGGCTTAGGTTCCACTGGAACCTCTGGAGATAGGAACACTGGGAAAGCAGCTTGGGAAACCAGTTTTATGGGGCTGTGTGAGGCCGACCAGCCAGCTTCCCCTGATTTACAAAGATTTTTCCTCCTCTCTCTTAATATGCCTGACTTTCTTGTAAAGGTGTTTGATGCCTGTGGATTGAGGGGATTTAAGATGAA